AGGTTAAGTTTGGGTTTAGACTTAGGTTAAGGCTTATGCTTACACATTGGCTTATGCCTAAGCCTATGATTGGGCCTAGGCTTAGTCCTAAGCTTGCTCCGAGCGAATGAACGGCGTCCCAATTTTAGGTGATCTGACCCCAGGAGGAGAAACGCTACGCACACACCAGTCTTGGTTTTCTTTCATACCCACTGCAGTAATCTGTAGGGCGAGCCACACTGCTACCCATGATGTCCGCACCGTGCCAGAGAGTTTGTCCATTAGAGATGGCTCTAAGAGATGTGAAGTTTACAGAACCCGTGGTTTTCAGACAATGTCTCAATTCGCTCTCACGCCTGATAAAAATTAAATTGTTAAGTAGATTTTCATCCATTATGTTGCTATATCCTAATAGTTGTTCTTATAATGGCCTCTGTTTCAGCCAAGAAGAATGGAAAGACTTGTGAGTCGCACAATGACAATGGCGGTTGTAAACATCTTTGTACAGGTACGTGCTCATTAAGTCAGTGTACGTTAGCTTACTCAAGTGATAATCCTCACCAGGCGACTTAACATTCGTACAACATCCTGCTAGAGATTGAATTTCACAGATAGTGTCTAGATGCTGAATTTGAGTTTCTATTAGTAGACCATCTCTATCTCTGAACTGAACAGCTTTTTAGAGAAAGGTCAACGCATATCTACAGGGGGAGGGAGCACAAAAGAGTCATGGCGCATATCACCAAACTTTTCTTTGCGCAGGATGGCGCTGTTGGCGGAATTTCGAGGCAAAATATTTCTTAAATGTCGCTCCGTAAGCAGAGCAGGCTCTTCTCCACTGCCCTATTCCTCCTTAGCTATGACGTCATCTGCTATCGGCCCACCGTTATCGCACCCGCTGAAGTTGCTGCATACTTTTTCAAAGGGTTAATTGGTGGATAGCCTGGACGCATTAGCTCTGGATATGCAGCACCCATTCCTACCAGCGTTTCAGATAAGGTCGTAATAATCCACGATTCATCGAGCACCTCGTTGAGTCTCCAACGTGCACCATGTTCCCCTAGGAAAATCTCCTGATGTTGCTGGGATAGAAGGCTATTATAAGGTTTTTTTTCTGATAGACTGGAATTTGCTCTGCAAATCCCAATTAGGGCCAGTTGGTTGAATTTAGTAAGGTGTAAGAGATTCCGTATTAACTGGGAAGGAAGCGACTTTTTCCGACCGCCCTCTGTACATGTTATTGTCTCCCTAGTAGGAGAAGTAGGAGAAGGCTCTTCTTGGTTGGTATACCCGGAGACAGATTATCGCTCATTTATGATTTCACATATCGCGACTCTTTAATTCGGCAGTTATCTCGTGAAATTCGTGGGATTCTTCTTAATAGCGTGATCATTCTTACCAATACACTAAACAGTCCCAGAGTGGGGCCATTAGATTTCTCTAGTCTTCACCATGATATAAGGTAGATCACGTTCAAAAACCCCGACAAAAATGTTGAACCAACTCTATGTATTATAATTTTCCCCTATACACCTGAAGTCAATCCCTGGGAACATATTTATTCCTCATCACTGAGAGGGTACAGGGTTATATTTAGATTACTAGAAATATTCCAAAAACAAAGGAATAATCGTGAGTCACCATGTGGCGCACGTCGTCCGTTGCGTGTTAAAAATGTTCAAGCGCATTAAAAAACAGGCATAATGCTGCTCTTTTTTATTTACAGACGTTCGTGACGGCTACTACTGTCATTGTCGCGACGGTTTCAAACCGGATCCGACGAATCCGTTCGACTGTGTCGACATCGACGAATGTGCCGGTAATAACACCTGCACGCAGTTGTGCCTCAACACCAAGGGATCGTATCTGTGCCGATGTCACGAGGATTACGAGAACAACGTTGTTGTGGGTGCAATGACTGGCAAGGATTGCAGAGCTAAGGTGAGCGCATCCAGCAGTTTTGATATCTTATCAAGTAACTAGCCATATTCGTAATGAGTTCCGGGACAGTTTCGAGAGCAGAAATGGATAGAGGTTAACAGAAGAAAAGATTTTTCTTTTCACTCCAACGGCGCGGCTCCCGTAAGGGCAGCTTTACCTTGGCTGTGGCAAACACATGCCTGAAGAAGGTGTTATACACCGAAATATCGCGGAAGATTTCAAAGGAATTCTTTTTCAAACTTTTTGCTTTTTGGAACTTTTGAGTTTTTGGAATTTTTGAATTTTGTGAACTTTTGGAATTCTTTTGAAATAAAATTTTGGTGCCTCTCTGTGTTATACAATATTTAACTAGAAATAGTTTAAGAGAGTGCGACCGAAAACCGTAGCGAATTTCCACGAGGTACTAGAAAATGAAGTTCGTAGCGATAAGAAAGCGAGAGGTCAGAGATTCGGAGCGTTTGGGGGGGGGGGGAGAACTGCATCGGGCGAAGCTAAAATCCATTTTCGTAATGAGTTCCGGAACAATTTCGAGAGCAGAAACGGATAGAGGTTAACAGAAGAAAAGTGGTCGAAAGCCATAAATCCCGGTTTTGCCAAACCACGGCCTATAAACCCGCGTGGTACAGTCGTTGATGCCTGAAACCAAAACATTTAGTTTACCTATAAAATAAGCAATAAGTAAAATACTTACGAAATGGGAAGTTTCGCCTAATATAAAGTCTAACAGCGTGCTGAAAAATAGTTTGTGTGAATTTAAATTAAGAATTGGTTTTTTCAGGGTGATCCCGCAAACATAATCGTTGCATCCGATGATGAGCTCGTTCAAGTGGCCTTACACGGAGCAAGAGTGAATCGTCACGCTGCCGCTCAGGTAGAAATTAATACATTTTATTTGTATGCGGGGGCTTAATTTGTATGCTTACATAGGAAGATTGTGGCCTTAATTTGTTTGCTCCCATGACAAAAACTTTTTTTCTAGAAGATAACTGTTTGAGAGAGAAGAAGGTTTTTCTAAAATGTTTGCCGGAGATTGAGCCCCTGGGATCCACATCGGGTCGATGAAATTTGTATGGGGTTTGGGATTGGGTAGGGAGTCTGATTTGGCTCCCTCACTACGGTCGCTACGCATACGATGTACCCACAATGTACCATGCGTAAGCAGTACCAACGGTCATGGAACTAAGATGCTCTAGGAGGGAGTGCTAGGTGCATTGAAAAGTTGCGTCAAAGTGCCATAGGGCGGAAGGGGGGGGGGGAGGAGGAGGATGGGAGGGGGCTAACAAGAACTTTCAAGATATCAAAAAATAATTGCTTCTCCGAGGTCACGCATACGCGGTTTCCATTCAATACACATTTGGTGAAGTTTTAGAGCTGAGAGTAAGGGATTAGATGAAGAAGTAGTAGAGGAGGGCGCTATCGCAATATACGGGGGCATTATGGTGACAATGCATCTAAAACTGCGTAAAGCATGTGTTCTTGGGTGAAAACAGGGAACCAGGCCTTAGGCGTGAGATGAGAGACGCCAGGGTACGTCAGCCATTTTCATTTCTCCTGGATTTCCTGCCTCTTCCTTGGCTTGGTTCCTATAGTATGTATGTATGTCCCCGTACATTGCGATAGCGCCAAGAGAAAGTAGAGAGGGAGGTGATTACATATATTGCCAGCCCGGAAAACTCCATATCGTCAATTTTTAGGCTATGCTTCTTAAACCTGCATTTTCTACAATCCATTGAAATCCTTGTTCCAGGCGGAACAAGACGATAACGACATCATAGCGATTGCGTTCGATGCCCGACGTGCACTTCAATTCTGGCTCGATGGCGGTAGTAATGCCATCTTCAGAGCATCGGAACCGAACGGCAACCAGTCACATGCTGGTCAAAAGCTCGACTTGGACTTCAACTCTTTAGGTGTAGCTCCGACCAGTATAGCTGTAGGACTATTTGACTGGGTGAGTGTGAAAGACGACTTGAAAATGTACTGAAACTCTACCAACTCATTTTTAAGAGGCAATAGTGGATTCAAATTCTCTGCAACAGTAGAAGAGAGGGAGAGGAGGGGCAAGGGTGAGAATTCCAACTGGGGTTCTCTTTCATCTTCGCTAAGGATTTTCTGCCTCGAGTGGGTTGATCGCTGGGAGGGAGCCATGAGTGCAACGATCAGCACTAGGCAGTGATATTTTGGTTAGGGCACGGAGGAT